TTTATTTTTTTTTACATCTTGAGGTTGTTATATTATTTATTTTAATATTCATATTTATAATTATAATATTAAAAATATCTAAGAATAAATAGTAAAAATATTGATGATTAGACATTAGTTTATAATTATTTATATTTCTAAACTAGCATCAAGCTTTAAAGTTACTGGTATTAACTGTAGAATTTAAATTAAAAAATTAGATTAGATGAAATATCATTCTATGAATGAATAAATTTAAGTATCACATGTTTAATTATTATAAACAAGTAGTGTTCTTGACTTCTACCTTGATCTGATGACTTATGCTTTCTCTCTCTTCTCTTTTATCTTGAATATTTAATATTTTTTACTTATTAGTTATAATTTTAAATTTAATTTTTTTTAGTTATTAATAAGTCAAAAAAATATATATTAAAAATTTCATGTTTATTTTGGCCATTAAACATCTCAACTGGCTTTTGAATAAAATTATCCAAATAAATTTTAATTTATCTAACAGACTTCTAAAAAAAACATATCCAAACATAAATCATATTACATTTACTGACTTTTCTGCTAACCTTAGTTTGCTAACCTCGGTTGAATCTTAACATTAGTTGTAAATTTTTTAATATAAACACGCACGTAAAATAATATGGTTTGGCTTAATTCTTTACTTTAACTCATTAGCATTAAATAATACTTTAACCTTATCTTAAAATTACAATTTAACCATAAAATATATTAAATGAAAACTCATTAGTTATTTTATATATTCATTATAAAATTACAATAATACAACAAAATTAATGTCTTAAAATGTTAAATATTAGATAAATAAAAATAAAAATTACGATGATAATACAAAATCAAACTTTCAATGGTGACATTCAAAGTTGCCGCTCAAAGTCTCATTTTTAACAGCGACACTAACAAATCGTCGCTGATTCTCAACTTTCAGCGGCAACTTATATGTCACCGCTGAAACTTACAGCATAAGTTTTTTTAAAACAATTATAACATATTTTAAAATATGTTGACAATCAGCGACGACACTAAAAAGTCATCGCTGATTATCAACTTTCAGCTGCAACTTGTATGTCGCCGTTGAAACTTACAACATAAGTTTTTTTAAAAAATTATAGCATATTTTAAAATATGTTGACAATTAGCAGCGACACTAAAAAGTTATCACTGATTCTCAACTTTCAACGGCGACTTGTATGTCGCCACTGAAACTTACAACATAGTTTTTTTAAAGAAATTATAACATATTTTAAAATATGTTGACAATCAGCGACGACACTAAAAAGTCATTGTAATTCTCAACTTTCAGCGACGACTTGTATGTCATCGCTAAAACTTACAATATAAGTTTTTTTTTTAAAAAAATTATAACACATTTTAAAATATCTTGACAATCATCGACGACACTAAAAAGTTGCTGCTGATTCTCAACTTTCAGCAGCGACTTGTATGTCATCGCTGAAACTTACAGCATAATTTTTTTAAAAAAAATTATAACATATTTTAAAATATGTTGACAATCATCGGCGATACTAAAAAGTCGCTGCTGATTCTCAATTTTCAGCGGCAACTTATATGTTGTCGTTAAAACTTAAAACATAATTTTTTTAAAAAAATTATAACATATTTTAAACTATGTTGACAATCAACGGCGACACTAAAAAGTCATCGATGATTCTCAACTTCCAGCGGCGAGAAATGTACAACATAAGTTTTTTTTAAAAAAGCATAACATATTTTTAAAATATGTTGACAATCAGCGGTGACACTAAAAAGTGTGACTTTCTGCGGTGACATGCACTTGTTGCTGCTGAAAGTCTAACAATCAATGGTGACTATATCTTATTTCTGTAGAAAGTCACTATTTAAGCAGCAACTTCAAATGTCGCCACAGAAAGTCACACTTTTAACGGCAACTTTTACTGTCGCCATTGAAAGTTGAGAATTAGTGGTGACTTTTTAGTGTCGCCATTGAAAGTCATTTTTTTTGTAGTGTATGTAGTGACACTTACAGCTGCTACAAAAAGACATGGCCCTTTTTTGGTCTTTATCAAGCACAATATAGGATATTTTCTATAAGTTTTATTTTATACAAAATATGGTGTATTAGGTACATTTTCTAGAAGTTTCATTTATTTCTTTTCATAAAAATTGATGTATTCAATTTTTTAAATAATAAGTATATATTTATTCAGATTGAAATGGCCACATTATATTTTTTTTAATAACTATACAAGTTAATATATAAAGTACAATAAAGTACAAACAGATGGGCCTTTAGAACAAAAAAAAAAAAATAAAGTCCTAAAATAACAACTGACCCACAACTAAACAAAAACAAGAAAAAGAGATTAAACATAAACGGGAATTGATTAAAAAAAAAATACCGCCAAAAGAGATATTGCTGAATTGTAATGTATGCATTGAAATTTGAATTGTTTTTATTAAAAAATTTATATCTAATATTTAATGAAAATATAATTAAAAACGTAAAAAATTTTAAAAGATTAATGTTTCACCAAATTTTTTTTAATTAGAGTAGCGAAATGCTTATCCTAACTTATTTTTTAATTAGAAACTGTGAGCTATGTAATTTGTATTGAGATTACTACTCATTTAATTTACGACAAAAGTCACAACGTGGGGTTTCTTCAATCACCTTTGATCAGATTCGCTGTGGCTGGACAATTACTAGACAAATCACCAAGGCTTGTGAAACCATATAATCACAAATGATTTTTCTTTCCAAATTTTGATCTTCAGCTTGCTCTTAAACTCGAATTTCAATTTTGTTACCAATTGTTAATGTGGAAAAAATATCATATACCAGCTGATAAAACATAAATGGACAAAAATTTGTTAGTGTATGTGCCCAGTAAGAAAAAAAAAATATTTGTATGAGTTTATCATGTACCAGCTTAAACTTTGATGCGCTCTACAGCTCAACATTTAACCCGTATTGAAAAACGAATTAAAATTCCATTAGTGCCAGGCAATAAGAAGCGCCAACAAGAATAATGTAACGCACAAAAAGAAAGAAAAACTAATTCCATTCCTTATTAAAAGTTAAAAAAAAACCTACTTTACACATGTCAAAAAAGTTAAAATTGGTTAATATCTGAAAATTGTTTCTATTTTTTCTATTCATGCTCATCATCATTTCCATCTTTCCATTAGGCCAAATCTTTGGATTCATAAATTAGGGGAATTTTAAGGGAAAAAATATTGATTACTCCTAAAATTTTGTAAAATGCCTTATAAAAGGACACCACAACCTTTAAAATTTTCTCTTATAATCAAGGTTGGAGGGAGGGAGTACCTTTAATTGACTCATGATGCTCTTTGTGAACCCTGTAGTCTGCAAAATTCATTGAATTTGAATTCCCATTTGTATCATCTTAAAGCTCTTCCCTGTCTTGTAGTTCTACATTTCACAATTAGGGTGGTAAAGCACGGTATGTCTTAATATAAACTCTAGGCTGGTGATGAAATTGAGGAACCATATATAAAGGCATAATCTATTGTCCAGTTTTGAAATATATACCTAGGTTTGTGAAGCCATAATGGAAAAAAAAATCTGAAATTGTGATTTTAATACGGAATCTCTAACCCAAATTTGAATTGTTTTATATCTAAATAGCTCTGGTAGCAATTGTTGATGAGAGTTGAGAGATCATTCTAAGTGGCGCTTCCAAGTGCCAAAATTAAGGAGCAAAACAGTTATCCACATTATTGATAATCCATAATTCTTTGAGATGTACATAAGCCCAACTGAAATGGATCACTTGAACGCTAACCGACTTCACCAGTCTGCATCTAACCCATATTCCAAAATTTGATTAATTACGGTTCAATTGGAGGAAGCCCACAATAATGAATGCCATCAACAAGAAGCATTACAACCCCACTTCCAAAATTTAACCCGGATTGCACAACTGATTGAAATTCAATCAGTAGAAGCCCACAATAAGACATTCCAATAAAATATCAACAGTAACGCACAGAGAAAAGAGGAAGGACCAACAAATAGGGTTGGGTCTAGTAAAAGAAGTTAATTCCTGACAAACTAATATTCAAATATCTAATGAAAAAGGTATCCACATTTAATATCTAGCTATACCTAAAAAAAGAAGGATAAAAAAAAAAACCTTGATGATGACTCGTGATGCTGACTAACTGTTCAAAACGAAGGTGAGAAGAAACCCCGTCAACAATATTGCGGGAGATAACGTCAACTTTTTCTTCATTGCTCAATTACAAGCATCCATTAATAAGCATAAAGTAAACAAGTCAAGATTTGAATACAATAATCCCTTTTCATTTACTTTAACATAACCTGCGTGTTATCAAACCACGACATATTTAAAGACACACTCTTTAGCCTCATATAGTTAAATTAGGTATCCTCTTCTATTTTGTTAATTAGTGAATGAATATTGCAAAAGACTGGCATTTAAATTAATTCGATAGCATCTATGAATGACATTAAGAGATACTTAGATGTGGAATTGAATTCTATACCAACATTAGATACCGTTAAAAGCAGGCAAGGGTTAGAAATTCATATGCTATGAAGTAATTTTATATGGCAACAATAATCATATGTTGTCTCTCTAGTCCTACAATTAATAACCTCTAACAAATAAATTTTATTTGCACTACTCAAAATACTCCCTCCTGTCCTAATTATGGGGCAAAGGTTTAAAACCCTACTTGGTCTTAAATATAGGGTAAAGATGTGGTAGCTCAATTTCTCTCCAATTAAAGTTACTCCTCCTTAATTGCAATATAATAAGTTGTTGACATGCTTTTAATCAGTATTGGGGGAGCAGTTGGTACTTGACTAGATTTTTGAATCAAATCCACACCAGAGCGGTGCTTTTTTTTGGGTTACTATTACTTGTCACAACCTTTGCTACTGCAGTACGCTGCTTGTTTGTGAACATTTATGCAGTTATGCTTTTATTTAAAAACTTATAAGCAAATACACCTAATTAGAAACCTTGTTCTGATTTCAAAGTAGAGACATACCCTTTTTCTAAGCTCCAACCAGGTATGTAAGCTACTTCAGACAAAGCCAAGTTCCAGTTCTCCAATTTTTCAGGCATTTGCATTCCTGCTCCCCACCTTGTTATTAGATGTCTTACATCTAAAGGGTTTACACCGTCGAAAATGGACAAAACCAATTTGCCCTTTGTTTTCATACGATCAAGGATCATAACAAGTTCGTCGAGTCTTGATGGAGGATATGCACAGAATTCATAAGAGAATACAATAATTGAAATCCTTGACTCTTCAATTGCTCTAACAGCTGTTGGGTCCAAATATTCACTCCATCCAATGCTTCCAACATCTTTAACAGCATTAATGTTGTTCTCATGTAAAGCATTATACACATCGTCCGAGGCATCTTCGAAACTCAGGATCAATACATAATGTCTTGGTCCTTGCACAAACAAACACAAAGCATACATCCATGTAATTTCTCAATATGCATCTTTAGACTAGCGAATGAAGTAAAATTAATGCATGGCATCTTACTAGCTAGTCAACCCGTAACATACCAATTAATGTATTTGCTATGCCAAGAATGAAAAATCTTGACTTAAACTACAATATTAGTATTGGCATTTTTAGTAACAAAAAAAAAAAGTATTGACATTTTCGTTGTATTATTGATGATGACTTTAACGGAAATTTAATACACAGCTAGCGATATAACTTAATCTTAAACTACAACTTTTGCAAGATAATAATGCGTTAAACTATAAGAGGCATAAACTTTTTTGCTCAAAATATATATATATATATATAATAGACATACACCAAGGGAACAAATATTGCAAGAGACTACTTGTGTAGATTGCTAAACAACCCACAATTTACTATTAACTACTCTCTCTATTAAAAAAATAAGGCATAATTCACCCAAAAAAAAGGTATTTTTAATCAAATCTCATCCCCAATAAACTATTTAATTGCTTTCAAACTAAGATCATCTTTGCATATTTATTCTTATTTGATATGTTGTTTCATTTAAAAATAAATGTAAAGTGATTCATTTATTAAGGGCATTTTTGAAAAAAAAGACATATTACTTACATCTTCAAACATTACAAATACTTTATATTTTTTAACATTTAACTTCTCAAAAAATATCTTATATTTTTCAATCGAGGAAGTATATAATAATTTTCATTGATTTAAATGTAAGTGCCTTGGCCTTTGATTGAAATTTTGAAATATGTAAATCCTATATTATAATTAAATTCTTTTTTTGGTCCTTAACTTATCCATATCAAGTCCATAATTAATTGAGATCCCAACTTAAAATGGACTTAAATATATCTGGGCTTTATATCAGTCCACATCTAACTCGTATTGCTAAGCTGATTCAAATTCAATCAATGGCCTTCATGATGACACATGATTCTCTCGGTTAACTCTGTGAGTTTTACTGAATTTAAATCCCAGTACGTATCATCTTTGAGCTCTTCTCTATCTTGTGGTTGTTCTACATTTCACCAATGAGGCAGTAAATCAAAGTATGTTTTAATATGGGAACGAATGTGAATAATGTTTACACAGAAGGAGGCTGGAGGGAAAAATACCTCCATGACCCATAGTGTTCCCAATTGACATTGCTGATTTTGTTAAATGTTCTAGATGAAGGTGCCAAGAAACAGCTTGAACAATTTGTGTGATAACATCATCTATGCCCCTATATTTGTTCAATTGCAAGCAGCCATTAAAAAGTGCAAAGTAAACTAGTCAAAATTTGAATGCAACATTCCTTTTCTTTTACTTAAAGGCATCCTGTGTCATTAAACCATGACATAACACATGCAACTTATGTGCTTGAAATCAATTACATGTTTTCTTTTCTTTTCTAAAATAAAATGAGTTAAGAATGTGAATTATGCAATTATATATGTTTTTGTTGAAAAAATTATACCGAACACCAAAGAAATTCTTTTTTGATTTCAAAGAAAGAAGTAAATACATACTCTTTTTCTAAGCTTCAATGATGCATGCAAGTTGCTTCAGACAAAGCCAACTTCCACCTCTGCACCTTTTCTATGTCATTCTTGAAATATTCTGCATTCTCGGCCATTGCTACTCGAAAACTTCTTGATTGATTTCTTACTTCTGAGGGGCATACATCGTAGAAAATTGAGAAAACCAATTTGCCCTTTGTCTTCATACAATCAATGATCGTGGCAAGCACATCAAGACACCATGTGTAATGAGCATAGGATTTAGAGAATACAGTAATAGAAATCCTTGACTCCTCAATTGCTTTGACCACAATTGGGAGAATACCTTCCTCCCTCTTGAATTTAATGAAAACAAATGCAGGTATTAAACCTATGAATAATAAACGTGAGAACAGAGCTCACGAAATTTAAACTAGCTAGTTAGTAACCATGGCACGTCAAGGGCTAACGGAACTGTCGTTAGCAACTAGTGTTCTATATAAAATCTCCTTCAAATTCATTTTTAAACATGCAAGAAAATCACCACTATTAAAATATCATTTTTGTTCTTGAAATCAAACTCACGTGAATAGTTCTTAGGCTTCAAAACTTGCCAGAATAAAATTTTATATCCAATGCTCAAACTTGCATTTATTGAATAATTAAAAATTACCAATCCTAGTGAAAATGATTTTTATCAATCTTGAAAGTGTATAACATAAGAGTAAAACATTTATATGCCATAATATAAATATTCTTCACCATTGTTTAATAACTTAAAAATGAAGAAATTTAATTAACAAAGTATCCACTAATCAACTTACTTGTCAATAGAATAATCTATATAAAAATATAAAATTTCAATAAGAAAAATAATTGATAATTTAGTTGGGACGCTGTCCACTTACCTGTAGCACCTTCAACCTCAAAATTCACTTCTTTCCAATCCAATCGAGCTACCTTACTTATGATTACCCTATAATATATAATGGAATCTTAATAAACTTTGCTTTTGAATCAACTAGTCTCCTTTTAAGAGAGTCCACTCAACTATAATTAATAATAAAAATAATTTTAAAGTTTTAGGAATAAAATTGATAACCTATTGAAATTAATGCCAATTCAGTGCATTTTCCTACACTTTATGTGCTAAATTAGATCAATTGTAAATATTTTGGGTTAAATATAGGAAAATGAGCGTCATTTCAAATTGACATAGAAAATAGAGTTTATTGAGAATTTTGCAAAGATGCTGACTTTGATTTTAAACTTTAAAAGATCTCATAGCTTTATTTACTATATCAGGTGATTTATGTTAGATATTTTTAAAGATATAGAGCCAAACAATGATTGAAGATGCATATGGAAGCAGAATAGTAGAAAAATGGGAGCCAAAACAAAAGATTGAAGACTCTGTGTCATGTGCCACGATACATGCACGGTGCATCGCGGCATGTGGCACAGAGATTGGAGTCCTGAAGATACATATGCGACGCAGCGCAATGACAACACGCCGCGGTGCAAATCCACATTTTGTCACATGTGCCACGGCACACTGACAACACGTCGCAGCGCATGGCCTTAATTCTGCTGCGCGTTTTAAGCTTCAGGATGAAAAAATTAGGGTAGAAAAACCATAAATGTGCCTCCAAACCTCAGACCACGACTTGGAGAAATTCTTTGAAATTTGCTCTGCTAGGATTTGGAGTTCTTGAAGGAGATTTGGCAAGGATTGAAGATTTGAAGAGATTCAAGTAGATTTTCTTCGGTTTTTCTTCTTTCTTCCCTTTTCTCTCTTTGTTTCTGATATGGATGCTATATATTGTAACATTTATGGCTCTTTTTTGAACATGAATAGCTAGTTCTCTTGTTCTAGGATTATTTCGAACCTTTGTATAGATTAATACTTGAATATTCCTCTTTTTTTGTAATTAATAATATATATGTGTTTATTTTGTCATATGTTTAATGATTTTAAGTGCTTGATCACCATTTATATTGCTTTGTTCACTTGAGTTGTGCTTGAGAGAGCTAATTTAGGTACAGAACTTGGATAAGATAGTATTGGACTTGAAATTTTACAAAGATAAATGGTTGGTTTTGTTGGTAAATTAGAGATATTTTATTAACCTTTTATAGTCACATTAAGATTGGTGCTTAAAATTTGTTCTCACTAATTATTTTCAAGAGATTGTAAAGTTTTAGTATTTTCAAATATACTTAATTTTGACTTGAGAAAGCTTCTTCAAGTGAATTAAAATCTTAGATTAACACTTATTTTTGTTGAAAATATATTAGAGAGGAATTAATTTAAGTTTTGTGAAATACAAAAGGGAAGGATAATCCTAGTTCCTCATCTCTAAAAGTCAAAGTTTCAACAAGTTTTAATTGCTTTAAAATCATTTTAATCAGATTTTTGTTACTTTCACACAAAAAAAAACATACTCTTAATTTTGCTCAACCTATCTCAAAGCTCAATAGTGAATTTTAACCCTCATTTACCTAAAATCCTCGTGAGAACGATAACTCTAGAATATTCTACACTTGTGACGACCCGTACGCTTGCGGTAACGCTTGACAGTGAACAAAAATCCACACCTAAAGGTTTCTTATTAGACTTTTTACTAAACACCTAATATGTGACACTCCAAACCATTCAATAAAACTTGCATCCTTTAATTCTCTTGCCTAACCATTTTCAAACATCCAAGTATGACTTCTAAAATGATAATAAACTTTATAAATCATCAACCATTTAACTCTCAATAATTTAAAACTCAAATAATATTCTGATAGCTTCTTAAATACACCCCTTGACAAAACCTAATTGAGATATATAAATACTAATGTCCAAGCCGTATCATCCTTCTTGAGAAACCATCACTATTATAGATACAAAATCAAACAATCTCTACAAATAGGCATTTTATCAAACATCTTTCATGCATGAATTCTCTAACCAAAGTCCTACTTCCTTTTCTGCAAATTTCATTTCCCAAATAGTATAATATTCATATTTAGAATAATTCAGCCTTCCTTCAAAATTTTAGTCCAATAAAAATCAAATTAATTACTCAAAGAAAATCAAATTTCTAATATCACGTTTCTTATGCACAGCAGAAAAATGGAGAATAATTTACAATCCTAATCCAGTCATATACACACAACAACGAGGGAGTTAATGGTCAAAGCTTCTTACCTTAAATCACCAACATCACAAAAGAGAAGAAGAGGAAGCTTATACACTGAACAAGGGAAGGAGAAGGTCCAACAGTGCTACCACACAAGAACAAAAAGAGTTTAGGTCCTCGCTAAACTCCTACTAGGTGCGAACAAACAAAAATTCCAGCAACTAAAGCAATAGATGTGAAGTTGAGCAGACTGTGATCCAAAACAAGGGAGTCATTTGGCACTGTATGCAAGGAAGGAAGGAAAATGACTTAAACCGCACTAGACCAAGCAAAAAAATCTCACGATAGAACCATAACTTGCTATGTTCACCAAGCTCATCTTGTGATTCTTGACAAGCAATATCTTTACCCATATCTTCTATCAAGTCCTGCATTATCACACAATCTTGTTTAGTCTTTATGAGGGATTTATTAATGAGCACTTTGATAGCATATTCTAGTTGGATTTCACGAAGGTATAGCAACCTATACTTAACATCATCTAATTTCTCACCATTGAAGAAACATGCTAAGTCAAGAAATTTTTTTTTTCTCAAATTCTCCTAAAGCATCATAGCTTGATTGGACGGCATCCAAAACTCTTTCATGTGGTATTGCTTTAAACTGATTCAAGGCAAAATTCCATTGATTGACTCCTTTACCACATAAATTAGAGCCAATGACTTCTAAAGCTAATGGAAAGCCACGAGATTAAAGTATTGCACAATTGGAAACCTTTATGAAGTCAGATTCCACATTCTCTTTTTTAAAGGCATGCAAACTAAGTAATTGAAGAGATTCTTCTTCATTTAATTTTCTGACTTGATAAATGTTTTCAAATTGAGCATGACTTACTAACAACTATATATTCCTTGTTGTGATGACAATTCTACTTCCCAAACCAAACCAATCACAACTCCCAGCTAGTCTTTCTAATTGTACCAATTCATCAACATCATCAAGAATCAAAAGAATTTTCTTTTGACGACTAAGCCTATGTTTTATGATTGGTATTCCTTCATGAAAATCACTTAGTTTAATATCCTTCTCCATGACTAATTTACGGGGTAATATCTCTTGAAGATGTGGCAAACCATTTGGCATTTAGGGCTCGTTTTTTATATTAGAAAGAAAGCATAAGCCTTCAAAATGATCAGCAATTGAATCATACAAGGCTCTTGCAATTGTTGATTTACCTATTCCACTAGCCCCCCAAATCCCTACCATTTTAGTTTCCTTAGTAGACCGAAGCTCTAAACATGAGATCACTTCTTTCACCCGAGGCACGAGTCCAACAGGATAACAAGCAATGTGTAAGGGATCATGATTAATCCTAGCAAAGACTTTGCTAATGATCTTTGTAATACATTCTTGTTCTTTTGCAATCCTGACCAGTTCATAAAAAGAAGTCACTTTTATTCAAATAACAAATTATGATGCTGCAGTCTGGGAAATAAAAATATTGTCGATTTTCCTTTTCCTGCTAACAGAAAAATTTTCGTTCCTCATCTCAAAGATTAAATGATAGAATTATTAAAAGTTCTAAAAACTATAATTTCAAACCAAAC